TGAATCAGAACATGTGGTCAGGGAAGAATACCAAAATGTTGCAACACACCTAACACTCACCCCATTCCTGTGCTGGGGCCCTGTGCCGGGAGCTGGGAACACAGAGAACACAGAAGTGGACCAGACATTCCCTGCCATTCAAGGATTAGAGGTTAACGAGGGCTTCAGGTGTGGGAAGATGACCAGAATGCTTCTCATCTTCACACATTTGTGAGCTCTTTGAGAGCAGGGATTTTGTCTTATTCATCTTTGTGTCACCCAGCAACAGGCACTGAGCCCAGCCAGAGAAAATATTCATAAAGATAAAGAAGAAAAGTGAGGGAGAAAAAGAAGGAAGGAAAGAAGACATGAAGGCTACAGCCTGGCAAAGTTAACAGCAGGGTAACATCAAAGTGTGGCAGAGAGAGTGGGATATGGAGCCACAGAGCTGCATTCTTATTCTGTTGTGACACTTCCTGGCTGTGTGACCTTAATAACTCACTTCACTTCCCTAAGCATCAGTTTCTTCATCTTTAAAATGGGGATAATAAGAGTATCTGGTTCACAAGGGTGTTGTTAGGCTGAAAAGTGAATGTAACAGTGTTTTTAACACATTTTGATTATTTGTATTATAACTGATGTTAACAAATAGCCTACACTTACCAGGAGGCAAAGACATGGTTCCAGGAGTCAGTTCTAACAGCAGAGGCTGCCCACGAATCCTGACCCTGAACCAGCTGCCCTTTGAAAAGTTTCTCCAGGTTGTGCCAGGCACATTCCCATCACAAAAAGCCAGGAAAGGGAAGCCTAGAGCCCAACTAATAGACAAAATCCAGCTAATTAGTCAGGAGGCTAAGACCCAGGAGGATGACAAGGGATGTAAATAGGAAGGAAATGAACTGAGTATTTATTCAACCTCTGGAGCGTACCAAAGACTTACACTATTTGTTATCTCAAGATTGTGTCCTGGTTTTATTGATGAGGAACCATGAGCATAGAGAGGTGAAGGGACTTGCTCAAGGTCATGAAGCTAAGAGATGACAAAACCAAAATGTGAGATACCCATGTGCAGCCAGCCTCAAAGGCCAGGCTCGAAGGCCATTTGTCCCCCAGAATGCCTTTCATCAGCTTAGCAAAACAGCCTCCAGATGCAACAGACCAGCCTGGGAACAAATAGGCCTGACACCAGGGCCAAATGCACCAGCACCCTTCATGGCACCAGCACCCTCCATGGCACCAGCACCCTTCATGGCACCAGCACCCTCCATGGAAACAGCATCTTACATAACACCAGCACCCTCCATGGAACCAGCACCCCCCTATGGCACCAGCACCTTCTATAGCAAATTTAGCTTTAGGAGCACTTCAGCTCCCAGGATTAAGAAAGAAGTAGATGTTTTTTCTCAGCATGTTCCCAACTTTTCAGATAAGCCTAATGAAAATCTTTCAAGTCGATGGCCCTTTACAATGACTTCCAGAGACTCCTTGGTTTTAGAAACAACAAAAATTCCAGGAAATCTTTCTCAATTCATCTCTCCCTGCCCTACTCTCTTTTCCCTCTCTCTCCCACAGTATAACTGCTACAAACTGCTTGTTCTCTGCAGGTCAGTTTTGAAATTCAAAGTCACAAGCTGTCCCACCTCTGTGAAAGGACTGGAATGATAGGGAGATGTATCTTTGCAGTTCCTGAGATTACCTCAGCCCTGGGCAATATATCTGAAGGGGCAGCCCAGCAACTGTTTACTAACACTATGCTCTCTAAGGCTAAATATAAATTCCCTGACTTCCAACTCTAGTTCTCCAGTGGAAATTTCCATCCTGAGCACCAGACCTGTTAGTTAAATATGCAAAGGTGGCCAGGCATCTCTCACTCAGTGCATCTCCTCTAGCCTCCTACCTCAGTGGAAGGTACCAGTCAGACAAGCCAAACACCAAGAAGTCCCCCAATTCCTCCTTTCTCCAACCAGGAACAAGTCCTGTCCATTTAGCTCCACAGGCATCCCTGAGCCCCAGTGAGCTGACTCAGCTCAGACCCCCAGACTTTCCTTAATTACTAGCACAGTCTCCTCCTAGGTCTCTCTGCGTCAACACTCACCCCACCAGATCATCCTCTACAGGGCCCAGGGGGAGAGCTCTTTAAGAAAGCAGAAAAACCAGGCTAATTAAGCTTGCAACTTTACATAAGCAAAGGCGAGTTTGCTTCATTCATCCCATTTTGTTCCAAGTGGCAGGGACCCCCTCCACCCACACCTGACAGTCAGTGCTGACAAAGGGCTGCTCCTGAGCCACAAAGCCCTTTCTTCCTGACCTCCATGACTAATTGAGTCAAACTGCATGGGGGGCTTCTGCAGGCCGTGGACCCTGACAGAGCTGTTCCTTTTCTCTTAGCTGACTCATTTCTGTTCTAACCAGTACTTAGCTACTGCAGGCAGCATGCTGAATTGAAAGACTGCCAGGCTCCAGCTCTGCTACTGGGTAGCTGGGTGAGCAGGTTATATCATCTCTCTGAGCCACAGTTACCATTTGAGAAATAGGGAATTACATCTGTTTCTTATATTTAAATATGACAAAATAGACACATCATCAAAAGTTGTCAAAGAGAGAAAATAAACATGATCCAGCACTACCACTGAGAACATACCCATATATAGCATTTTAATACATTTGTTTCCATGTCATTTTTCCTCTATATATGAGCTTTTTCATAGTTCCATAGAAAGCATACAATTTTAATCTTTGCTTTTTTCACTCAACATTTCCAAACACTTGCCCAAATTATTGCATGTCTTCATAGCCATAATTTTAAGTGATTGATGGATAACAAATTATTCCATTTGGTAAAAAGAGCAAATTTTTTAAATAATTCCCATGTTTTTGTCTGATTGTTGAAACAATACATGCTCATTGTATAAATTTTGGAAAAAAAGAAAAATAAAATTCAGACTAAACTACTCTCTGACAAGAAAGTGACTCTTAAGAAACTGTCAGACAGCTCATCGTATGGATGTGATCTTATTTGTGGAATCATGAAAATATTGTTGAAAGTCTGGCATTGTTTTCAATACTTCAATTTTATAACTAACCCCACAATAAACATTCTCGTATGTGAATCTTGGCATATTTCTCATGATCTCTTTTTCCAGGAGAATAGTCAACTTTGCCCCCAGCCTGGTACACATACATATATTATTTATCAAGATACCTAGCCCTCCCCTCAAAGCTATGTGTTCATTCCAGCAGGTATGTGCTTGTTCTTACAGGTACCTGCATATAGTTGGGGCCAGGTTCACACACTGTATGGCAGACACTGAAGGTACAGTAGAAAATAAGAGTAGTCCCTGCCCTCGAAAAGGGGGTTAGCATACAGGTAAGTCCCACATTCCTGGGGATACACACAGAGGTGCTACATTCCCTCTCAGTCTCTCACAAACACCCTGATGCTCTAACATAGATTTAACAGGGAGAAAAACAGGGACAGAAACAGACGAATATGCTTATCCACACACACACAGTCAAATTTCCAGATAACCAACCATGGGCTATTTTCACTTTCAAAGCCCTCTAGTCACAGTTGACACAAAATAGCTACTATTCATTATGCACTTATCCTGTACAGATCCAAGTGCTTTGCATGTATTCTGCACTTCATCTTCACAGGAACCCTACCTACTATTATCTCCATTTGATAAATGAGATTTAGTGACTTGCTTGTGGCCACAAGGCTAGTAAAAAGTGGAAACAAGGCTCAAACCCAACCAGTCTGCTCCAAACTCCATCCATAGAACCACTTGTTCTATTGCCTCCATGGCTGATTTTGCCTCCTAAATATGTTTTAGGTCTTCCTTCATCTTTTATAACTGCTCACCATCCTTGTCTGAGCCACTATCTTTTTTATTTATTTATTATTTTTAAATTTCATTTATTTTATTTTATTTTATTTTGTCGATATACAATGTGGTTGATTATTGTGGCCCATTACCGAAACCTCCCTCCCTCCTCCCTGTCCCCCCTCCCACCCAACAATGTCCTTTCTGTTTGCTTGTCACATCAGCTTCAAGGAATTGTAATTGTTGTGTCTTCTTCCTTTTTTTTTTACTTGGATCATTGCAGTAACCTAATAGCCTCACCATGCTCGCTCGCTCTTGCCCACTACACTCATTAGCCACATGAAAGCTAGCATTCTTTTTCCAAAGTCCAATTTCAATCATGTCTCTCCTCTTCTTGGAGTCCTTCAGAGGCTTCCTGTTGCTTTTAGCATATCACTTAAATTCTTCCATACAGTCTAGAGGGCCTACAATTACCTGCCCTCTCCCTACTTCCCCTGCCTGATCTCTGTCTGCTCCCCACCCCCTCCTAGAGCCCAATTCTTATTCAGTGTTGGGGCTAGCCTCTCTCCAGCCACAGGGACTTTGCACAAGCTGTGCTCTCCTCAGCCACTCCCCACTCCTAGATCAGCTCCTAGGTGGCTTCTCCCAGAGCACTTCCCTAGGCTCCTCTTCCATCATCATAGAGGGGCTTCATGGATCTTCCCACAACTCGTCACAGCTAATGACATGTGTTAAGTATTCCCAGCAACACCTCCACCAAGAAACAGAAAGTCAACCATTTAGTTTTTATGGCCCAAAAGTCAGTTTTTCTTTCCTTTTGTCTTTTTCATATTTGTTGCCACCATATTCACTGACTAAAATCTGAGTTTCTTCATACATTTCCAGCACACTTGCTAGAGATTGTGATGGAAAAGCAGGAAGAAGGGGGGACAGGAGAAAAGAGGCATTCATCAATCATCATATTTATCAGAACTTTCCAGAGTACAAGAGAGCGCGAGTAGACGTCAGAGGCAGGGCTCCCATTCCTTGATTAAACTCAGTAACCCAGACTGTGTGGCTTCAAGAAATCCTCCAAAAATAGCCTGTGTCATTTCCCACTCTCCAGCAGTACCTGCTGCACTAGCAAGAGGTGCACTAAGCTGGCTGAAGCCAGCCTTACCTTTACTCTTTCTGTTACACCATCAAGAAACTGACCGTAAATTCAGCGATTTTCGGCACCCGGAACTTCCCTTTGCTCTTCTGTTCTGGCTGATACTCCGTTCTTGTCTTCACAATCACCTGAAATGTTCCATCAGCGTTAGCACATATGGAAGTAGGGAACATTTTTCTTTCCTTTTTCTTTTTTTTTAATAGCTAGAATTTATTAAACATTACATAATAATCATAAAATAAAGAATTCCCCCTCCCAAACTCACACAACAAAAGAGAAAATTCAAATTACCTATAATACTTCCCCATGCTAACAGAGACAACGACAAGTGACAATTTTGGTTACATCTTTCCAGACGTTTTTATATGCATATATAAATGTATATTATATATATATTCACTATTTATGAAATCATAAATTTTCTTTTTATGAAATGGATTCATACTTCATGAACTAGTTTATAACCTGATTTTATGACACAACACTAGATTTTTTCCAATTTTCCAGTGTAGACAATTATACGATTTCATTTTGCCTTTTGATGTAGTATAATATTTCACTGTATGTATGTATTACAATTGATCTAATCAATCTTTATTGAACATTTAAGTTGCTTTCACAGTTTTGGTTATATAAACAAATTATGATGAACATCCTGTAGCAAATCCTTGTGCATATACTTAATTCCAATTTGATTTGGGAACCTGAGCAAAGAAAAATATAAAGGTCTATTCAATCTATTGCATCATCTTATTTTTCTAAAGTATGAATATTTTTGCAGAGGTGGTTAATATCTTACCAAGATGTGCTGTCAACCTGACAAGACATTTATGGAACTACATCCCACTGTGTATGCAAAGTAGAAGAAAAAGAAACCTGACAGATAATCAATAATTATTGCCAAGAGCTGGAGTACCATGAGGAACACAAAAGTTGTCTGAGCCTCAGGGTATCACCTATAAAATATAGCCAGTCGTTATAACCATAATTCCCTACTTAATAAGGTTTCTTGGAGAGTTAAATGAGAGGTTAATGGGTAATATTTTTTGAACCATATATTATGTGCCAGAACTAGGTCAAGCACTTCATATACCTTATACACTCCACTACTATTTCCATTCTCCTGACCAGGAAACTGAAACTCAGAGATGCTAAGTCACTGTACAAGGTTACACAGCTAAAAGGAAGCAATCTTCCAACCATTATCACTCTTACTTCTCATTACAGCTTAAATTAACAGAATTTCTACTGAATATCCCCACTGAGTTTTCTTGGAGACAACAATCAAGTGTAATGATCAGAGCAAGAACTCTCCTATGAAGAATGTTCTTTAAAGTCTGTGAGGCATGCCATTGACTCAATGTAGCTCAAAAAGGAAGAGATGTGGAAAGTACTACCATATGTTGATCATCTACCATATAGTACTTAAATATGTTGGCAAAGAAGGCCCTGGGCCCCAGCCCAGCTGCTACACCCCAACATCCCTCCCTCCCTGACCACTAAAACCCATTTCCTGGTGTAAATTCTGCTGTCATGTTCTACCCTGTTTGCAGTCTTCTCCTCCAAGCAACAAAAGCCCTTTAGTTCTTTAAATGGGGAAGTTATGCAGGCAAACATGGATAAGGGTTTATTTGTATGTGTGTGTGGCAGAGGGCGAGAGGGTGTTCTGTTATTTTTATTTTTTTCTTACCTCTTATGCCAAAAAATAGAAAAACAGAAGCCTCTGTACCACAGAAAAAAAATAATTCTCATACTTTGTGCATTAGCTCTTGACATTGAGCATTTGACGTGCATTATCTCACTTATCTCTATGCTATGAGTCAGATACCAATATTGTCAATACAGAGGGTTGGAGGGGTGTAAGATTGTGGCCTGGGTTCAAATCCTGGATCCACCACTTACTAGCTGGTGACCTTAGGTAAGTCATTTAAGCCTTTTCTGTCTTGGTTTTCTCATCTATAAAATGGGAAAATAACCATAACCAAATTACTGGATTGTTATAAGGCATAAATGAGTTAATGCAGCTAAACGTTCAGACCATTCATTCAATAACAAATGTCTATTTGAACACTGCCTCTGGGTGAGGCCACATTTTCTTCCATAGATGTCTGAGGTAGATGTAGAATTGAGTCTGGCTTGCCCCGTCAGACTGTGGGCCACCCAACCAAGCCCATCGAGAACAACACAGGATTTCTCAAGAAAAGTGCTGTTCAAGCATGTCCCGGACCATGCTGCCTGGAAAAAAAAAAGTTTTGAAGGGTGAATAGAATTTTTCTGGGTGGACAAGGCAAAGAAAGACATTTTCTGCAAAGTGAACCATATAGCCAAATAAACAAACTCACCCCTGCCCTGCTGTGTGGCAGCCATGTGGTTTGGTAGAATTGATCCCTCCCTTAATGACAGGGATGGTCCTTAGTTAGGTTAAACCAATCAGGGAATACTATCCTATTGATCACACAATTTGATTGGCTCACACATGGACACGTCACCCTATCTGACCAATGAAATAGGAGGCAGTATTGACAAGAGACTTGAGGAAAGAAGCTTCCTTGGCCTTCATAAGTATCCCCAGAGCGTAAACCAATCAGGGAATACTATCCTATTGATCACACAATTTGATTGGCTCACACATGGACACATCACCCTATCTGACCAATGAAATAGGAGGCAGTATTGACAAGAGACTTGAGGAAAGAAGCTTCCTTGGCCTTCATAAGTATCCCCAGAGCATGCTCTTCTTCTGGATGTTGTGGTAAGGACTTGAGGTCTGGAAATGCTGTAGCAATTGTTGCCACTATGAGATGGAGCCTAGAGGGGAACAAAGGCAGCACACAAAGGAGGACAGCACCAGGAGGAACCCAGGGCAATGGTGATGGGCTCTGCAGACATCGTACTGTCTGAATCACATCTTGCCTAAAGCTACAACCATGCTGAGCTCTGCAGTTGTGTAGGCAAATACATACTCTTGGAACCTTAATCAAATTCAGGTTGAGTTTTCTGTTGCCTAAGACTAACTACTTTCTATCTGATACAAAGGTGTTTCAAGAGAAAGAGCTGAAAGGCCATTAGAATTTAGAAAGATAGCCAAACACTAAATAAGGATACCAGAATAAATAGATTTCCTAGGTGTCAGCAAAAAGTCAGTTCAAAAATGTAATAGCACCACCAGAAGAAATATACAAGAACATTCATATCAGCTTTGTTTATAATAGCCCCAAACTGGAAATGACTCAAATGTCCATTAACAGGAGACTGGGTAAATTGTGGTTCATTCATAAAATGAATGTAACACAGCAACTATGTGTTATAGATGAATCTCACAGACATTACACAAAAGACATCAAACACAAAAAGGGTTTTTTATATGTTGTGTGATTTATTTACATCAGCTTCAAATATATATATATATTTATAAAATTTATATATATAACAAATTTACTTTAGAAATATACCATTTACCATTGCAGTACCATTTGCAGGAGGTGCTGCGTTTAGGCAGAGTTGAGCCCATAACCCCCTCTTCTATGTCCTGCTTTGCTCTGAACCCCTATGAAATGCTACTTATGCCTTGACTGGCTCTCTAATAAAAACAGTTTTGTTGGCTTCAGCGCCTCACTCCTCAAACCACAGAGCTCAAACACAGGGCCAGGGACAGGTGGGTACCTCACACCATGTGAGTCCTCAGTCTTCTGTTCCTCTGTTTAGCCAAGTCACATTTTCTCCAAAAGCAACTCAGCTGCTGCATAATATTGTATCTTCACCCTGAAGGAAGTGTCAGCTCTTTAGAACCCCATCTCCATTTAAGAAGCTCACTCCCCAGGAAAAATGGACAGCGTTCTGCCCTCATCTCCTTTGATCTCTCTTAATTTTTGACAGGCTTGTTCTCTCCATCCTCCCTGAAATGTTCTCCTCTCCTAGGTCCGTGGCAGTCTCTCTTTCGGTTCTCTTTCTACCTGGCTGGCCAGCCCTCTTCAGGCTCCTCTTCAACCTGACCTCTCAGTGTTGAAGAGTCATGGCCACTCTGCTCTCTCTCGTTCTACAAGGCCTCTGGGTGTTCTCACTCACTGCCATCACTTCCAAGTCCATCTTTTATTCCTGTGACTCTCAAATTCATATCTCCATTTGTATCTCACTCAACACTCAGATTACCCTACTGGACACTTGCCCTTGGATATACTCACCTAAAATTACCATGTTCACAGCATGGACCCTAACCCACTTGTCCTGATCATCTCACCCTCAACATTTCCATGCCATGTAATCCCCAGCTCACAAAATAGCAACATTATCCACACAATTGTTTTTTGTTTTTTGTCTTTTTCATGACCGGTAGGGGGATCACAACCCTTGGTGTGGTGTAGCCCACACTGTGCTCAGCCAGTGAGCACACCGGCCATTCCTATATAGGATCCGAACCCGCGGTGGGAGCATCGCTGCGCTCCCAGTGCAGCACTCTCCCGAGTGCACCACGGGCTCGGCCCTATCCACACAATTGTTTTTTGTTTTTTGTCTTTTTCATGACCGGTAGGGGGATCACAACCCTTGGTGTGGTGTAGCCCACACTGTGCTCAGCCAGTGAGCACACCGGCCATTCCTATATAGGATCCGAACCCGCGGTGGGAGCATCGCTGCGCTCCCAGTGCAGCACTCTCCCGAGTGCACCACGGGCTCGGCCCTATCCACACAATTGTTAATATCAAATCAAATATAGGAATTTCCCATGATCCCTCTCCTCCCTTCAGTCCCCCAATCCATTCCATCATTCCATTCATTCCAGCTCCAGCTTCTTCAAAAATTTCTCTCAAATTCATCCATTTGTCCAATTACACTGCCTCCACCCTAGTTCAGGACATTATCATCTCTCTCTGGATTTTTGCTCTAGCCAAGTTCCTTCTATTCTTGCCTCCCCAACCCCAGAGAAAAGATCTTTCTACACTGAGGGAGAAGCACATACCAGCAAACATTCAGAAGACATCTGGGAGGACAACACCTGGCGCAATTACAAAGAGGTGGTTTTGAGTGAATAGACAACAAGGTGAGGTGAGCGGGTGACAGAGATGAACTGGAGGAATACACGGAGGCTCTAAATACACGGAGGCCACACTAAGTACCTGGAAGATTAACTCGA